GCCTCTTCCGCCATCCTTCCCCCTGAACCAACTACTGTTGCCCCATTCTTGTCTCTCCCCGCCCCTACTACTCCTCCCCCGCCTGATCTCTCCCCCTCGTGTCCCGATGCCGCGATCTTGTCCATCGCCAGCTTCTCAGACCCTCCGTCTCTGTCCATTGCTGCTGCGCTACTGCAACGCATCACCGCATCCCCCCCTCCTCCTTCTGTCGCTCCTCCAGGGGCCCATCCGCCTCTGCAGTCCGCCAAGTCAGTACTACCCGCACCTCGTCCGCCGCTCCCGCCTGCTGCGGGAGACAGGTCAGCACCACCATGGCTGACGACGCCATTGTTCACTGGAGCCACGAGCGCAGCTGCCGCAGCCCCCACACCGCCACCACCACCAATCGCCGCACCTCCTGCGCGAGAGGCGCGCTGCAGACTCTCCCCATCGCTGGCGCAACGCGCGGACGAGTGCAGGCCGGAAGCTGCTGCTCCCGCCCCTTGGTCCAAGCCGCCGACTCCGCCCGCAGCAGAAGAAGAAGGATCCGCAGCCGCCGCGCTTCCAGCGCTGTCCCCGTTCCTCACCCCACCCTCGTCCCGCCGTCTCTCTCTTTCGTCTGCTGCTCCGGCTGTCCCTCCTGCTGCTAGTTGACTGTCGTCATCGCCAGCCCCTTCTCCCGCACGACCACAAGCCGCGGCCATGGAGACTGCCGCCGCTCCTACTGCACTTCCTCCTCTTCCTTCCTCTTGGTCTCTCCTTGCCCCCCTCGTCTTCGCCGAAACGCCGCCGGCTTCCGCCATCTCTGCGCATTTCCCCACCCGCGCGCTCCTCCCGTTCCCCTCCCTGCTAGCAATATTGTTACTGCCGATGGCGTTGTTGGCGGTGTTGACGGACGCATGAGCGGCGGCTTGTCCATCGTCCCGAAGATGGGCGGGGGCCGATGATGACGAGTCAAACAGAGCGGCGGTGGCTTCACCCTTCCCTCCTCCTGAGAGGGGCTCTGAGCAATTGATCGTCACTGCTCCGCCCCCCCCGCTCCCAACCACAGCGGTATTAACCAGGTTTCCGCCGCCTCCAGGGGGTGACCCGGACAAGGGGGGCGCGACTGCCGCCGCCGTCTGCTGCAACGGGGCCACGGCACCTCCTCCTCCTCCCCCCCCAACAGCCCCGACACCCATTTCTTTCATCCCAGATTCCTCCCCACCAACACTGCGGCGATCAGGCATTAGCAGTTGCGCAGCTTCCTTCCCCTCCACTCCCCCCCCCGCTGCGTCCGCGCAACCCGCCCCGCTCGTCAATCCCGAGGCGGCGGCTGACCCACCCACGACTCTCATCGCCGTTGTTGTTGACTTCTCCTCTTCGCCTCCTCCCCCMCCCCCCCCCCCCCCGTTTCCCCCCTCTGCTATCCCAGCAGGTTCTGCCACCTCCTCCCCTTGATCCGTCAATCCGAACATCGGCTTCAGGAATGACGTCCACACACCCAAGACCCTCTCCGCGTGCTCAGAGTTTGCGCACACCCCATCGGCCGCGAACTTCATGATCGCAGACACGTCAAAATGCACGTCGGGATCCGCGAATTCAAACTTGAGATGGGGGAAGAGCAACCGACGTCTTCCGCCGGCGGCGACGGCAAGGATCTCCTCGTCCTCCTCGCCATCTTCCTTCTGGTGCTGCAGCTGCTGCTGCGAGAGAGCGCGATTGTTGCTCTCCATCAACCCCCCCTCCCCTGCTCCTCCTCTTAACGGCTCTTTGTCTCCCATCGCCCCACCTCCGTCCTCATGCTGCGAGGGAAGGAGAAGCAGAGGCTTGCCACGCTTCTCTTTCTCCGCCACCTCTTTGATCTCCTGCAGCAAAGCCTTGGTGCTGACCGCGTGCTTCTTCTTGTCCAGCTGCTTGAAGTAATCCCCGAGAATGTCGAGACTCTTCTGATGATTGCGCGCATACACCTCCGCCCACACCTTGTTCATGTCCTCTCGGCACTTCCTCCATTCCTCCTGCTTCTGCTTCAGCCTCGCCAGAATCACGGGCAACGCCACCACTGGGTTGCTCTTCAACAGCTCCAATATGTCCAACCCGTGATCGCCGTAAATCCTCTCGATGCAACGCAAATGAATGGGCGACAGGGCTGTGGAGTCCAGCCTGAACTGGCTCTTGTCCTCCGCACTCATCTGATGAATCTTCTCCACCCACTCCGCCGCGATCTGCGCTGTGTTGGTCGTCGATTCCAGCAACACATCCAGCTCATACCTGTCGTCCTCGCATCGAAACAGGCTTTCCTCGTATTGGTTCTTCCTCTTGTGCTTGAACGAGTAATCCTCGCTCCCGGATGTCACCGACACCCAGTTGTCGTTCAGGGTCTGCCGACACGTGTCGGTGCGAAAGGAAGCGGTTGGGCGGGGATAATTGTCAGGAAGCAGGCGGTAGCTGGGTGAGCAGCGCTCGCATTTCGTCAGGTCCAGCTCCGATATCGGTTTGTTCCAGTACTTGTCCTTCTTCTTGGCTTGATTGGCGTTGGAGTTTGCCTTGGCCGCCGTGGTTGGAGTCGGCGCTCCCGCGCAACTAGTCGTCGTCGTGTCTTTGGGCGCGGCCGCCGCGTTAGCGGACTGGTGATGAGGATGATGGTGTTGATAATGCTGAGGCGGAGCGGAAGGAGCAGGGGGAGGCGGAGGACCCGCAGCGGCGACTCCTGCAGGAAGCGGGGGAAGAATTGAAGTACTACCCAGACCACAGCTTCCAGCTGCTGCTCCTACGTTCCCCCTCTCCGACCCAGTTGTGGATGTCGTCGTCGCGGTCGTCGCTGTGCTGTCTTTGGTCTTCTTCACTCTCTCCACGGAGTGATCGAAGTCGGGATTCTCGCAGCGCGCCAAGAATTGGTTGAAGCCGTCGGTTAGGTCCGGATACTTGCCCAAGATGTCGCCCACCAGAGCGTGGAGTTCCATGCGGCTGATGATCTCTTGGGCGAAAAGATTAAGGCATTTGAGGAACTCCTGGTACATCTCCGGGTGGCGCAGACGGTGCTTGATCCGCTCAAAGAAAGCACGCTCCTTGCGTAGAGAGGGGACAGGGGGGCGTTTCATTATGTCACCGCGGTCATCAATGGACCTGCTGGCATTAGCATTAGACGAGAGAGGAGGCATGGGAGAGGGAGAAGGAGAGGGGGGAGCATGAGACAAGGGAATGGCAACGCCGCCTGCCGGCAATACAGGCGAGGCAGCAGAAGCGGACAGGGTATCAGCAGACAGGCTGTCGCCTCCTGCACCTCCTCCACCACCACCTGCTGCTGCTGCTGCTGCTGCTGCCGCAGCTGCGGCAGCAGAAGAAGCTTGATTGGATGATTTGCGCAAAACGATGTGCCCGTCGTCGCTTCTCCTGCCGGGTATACGGCGCCCACGTGGGCCCCCCTCCTCATTCGTCGTCGCCCCGGCGAAACTGTGCTGCTGCTGATGATGATGATGGTGATGATCTCTGTCCTCCTTCTTCACACCTCTCTCCACTTTCTCCTTTTTCACTCTTTCTCCACCTGTCGTCCCCATCATCCCCTCCTCCCTATCACCTCCACCTCCCATCTGTTGTTGCTGCTGCTGCTGCTGCTGCTGCTGCTGCTGTTGCTGCTGTCTTTCCCCTGACGACCCCACTACCTTCTCCCTCTTCACGTTACTCAACCCTCCCCCTCCGCCGCCTCCTCCATGAGGTTGTTGCCCCGACAAAGACCTGCACGACGCCTTCACATCATTTGCCCCTGCTGCGATCCCCGCCCCACCGCCATCCGCTTCCGCTCTCCTTCTCTTCGTAGCGCTCGTCGTCGTAGACACAGCCATTCCCCCACCCCCACTCACTCCACCAACTCTCCCTCTCAACGCCCCCACTCCCCCACTCCTGTCTCTTATACACATCTAGATGTGTATAAGAGACAGCTGATGATCTTTGAATAGACTCGCCACCTCCTCGTACACATGCGTTATCGTCTTCATCCCCTTCCTGTACAGATTGAGAATCTCCAGAAAAGACTTGTACACATGCTCATCGTTGCGGAAACGAGTTTTAATCTTGTTGACGTAATGAACAGCCTGATCGAATTCCACCGGCTGTTTCTTCCCTCTATGGGGCTCGTCCTCCCCGCCATCCTCTTGCTGATCCGCACCACCATGATACCCGCCTCCTCCTCCTCCTGCTGCTGCTGCTGCTCCGCCTCCGCCTCCGCCTCCGCCTCCGCCGCTGCTTGCGTTGCCAACTCCACTCCCACCGCCACCTACGCAACTGCCCCCCCCCCCTCCTGCTCCAGCTGCTCCCGCGGGCGTTACTGGCTGATCTAATTGCTTGTTCTCCGGACATTTGATTGGGGGCAGAGAAATCTCGTACCCCTTCGGTAGAAAGGTATTGAACCCGAGAAGGAGCTGGCGGTGACCTTTAAATAGCGTTTTCACTCGATCGATGACTCCCGCCGTGTCGATCCTCTGCGCCTTGAAGTCCTTCATCACTTCCAAGAATTCGTCATACTTCTCGGTATCGTCTTTCAAGTTCTCTTTCACGTTTTTCAGGTACTGGAGAGCGTCGTCCGTCGTGCGACGAGGATTAGCGCTGACAGGTTGAGAGGAGTAGTGGGAAGCAGTATCTGAAGGATCCACTCTAGGGGCAGTGGCACGCTTCATCACAGGCCCACCACCAGTCGCACCACCTCCTCCCCCTCCCCC